TCTCCCAAGCGGCGCACGTTCACCGGACCCGCGCGTCTGAAGGCACGTGCATGCGCGGACACAAATCAGAAAAGCCTGGCATGAAGAGAAGCACGTCGGGTTAGAAGACTGGGAAAAGTCAGAAATGTCAGAAATGTGAAGGAAAGATCTAAGTGTTTATGGATATCAGTGTGGTTATGATTTAATATAAGAAGAGCATGCATACTAACACACACAATGACACACATATATGTATCAGTATATGTATCAATCACAGAATGCAAAATTCTTCACTGGAGAATCTTTGGGTGAATCAGTACTGCCGCACAGAAACTGCAACAGTTAAAGGCTGATTTATGGCCATTGTATTGCAGCTTCTCTGACAAATTACACTGTAGCCTTTACCTGAAATTAGGCAATGTTCGGAGACGTCTTTTCTCGTCTAAACCAGGGTTGCAGTTTATAATCCCCAAGGCGTCAGACCAGAAAACCGAGCTGCGCGCTTCGGGTGCCGCTCGCTTGAAAGATGTTTTTGAACTGGTTTTAAAATGAAATCCTGTCAAATATAATCCTGTCAGTCATTAATTATTAACTCATAAAATCATATTATTTGGAAACGTCTATTTGAGAAACCTACGTCTGTGAACACATCAACATTATCCCGACAAATGTTATATAGCTTTTAATATTAATTGTGAATATAAAATGAACTTTATCGAAATATGTTTATAACAGACAATTAACATTTACGGGTTAGACATTTCAAGGGTGTGATTTTGATCAATGACATTTAATTAATATAAATATTGTTTTAAAAAGAACATATTTGATTAATGGCCGCTCATATAGCAGGCTATATTTGCACGAAAAGCACGCCATATATAGATTCTGAAATGTAACTCCCTGTTTTTGCCCATTTATTTGATCATTAAGTTTAATCTTTATTGCGGCATTGCAGGAAATTCAAGCCGGAAGTACGTCGTGCTGAACGTTTTCTTTTTCTTTTTAGGAGTGTTGTGTCGGTATTTTATTCTTTTAACCACAATCGGCCGCCCCGCCAGTATTTCCTCACTTAGGGAGACGCAGGTCGGTACGTAGGTGTTGAATTCCGCATTGCGTTGAAACATAAAAGGTATTTTCAGCTGAAACCCCTTTTCCCAATTTCTCAGCACTTGGATATTTATTCGGAGACGAAAAGCAATACCCCTGCTTTAAATGCGAACCTCGTTTGACTCGATAGTCGTTGCTTTTTATCATAACCAAATTAAAAGCCGTTCCCAATGCAGTTCAATTTAGCGATATTTTTGCACCCTGCTGGAAGCAGTTCAAAAACAATTCATCCTTCCGCTTTTTTTCCATGATTTGGTCTGTGTCAAATCTCTTTAAAAATAGAAACCGTATCCCCTCGGAAAAAATGGCTTTTTCTAATAATAGCACCAAGGCAAGGAGGAGGGGGCTCGGGCTGTATCCGACCCCTCTTTCCTCGGTACTGTCGCGAGCATTGGGAATCCCCTTCAAGCGTTAAAGCAATAAGCTAACAGTAAGCCCTCCTGCCATTTATCAGCGCCGTCGGTGCTCGTTGCTGCAGGTCTGTGTACCAGACACGGTACATATCGTAACCTAAATTGAAAACGCATAATGAATATGACGAGGGCATGCATAAACCACCGAAGCATCCCAGAATCCATTGCATATTCGTGTGAGTATAACTAATACACGAAATCTATACATGTATTATACGTATATTGATTTAAAAATAAAAATAAACGACAACATAAAGAAATGAATAATTTATATATGTATAAATCACAACTAATTATAATTATAAATTATGTGGCTATACCACGCGTATGCTGCGACCGCATTACACAGAAAGGCGCATTATATAATGTGGATATTATGTATTTAATGAATATGTTGACTTAGGGGGCGAGAGTAAAAATAAACGATGCGGAAAAGCCGCAACTTGGCCGCCGCGTTTCTTTTGGGGTGACTTACGTACGGAATAAGTGCACACGGGCAGCGTGGCAGGACCCATCAGACAAGCGCATAATTGTTTTCAACGCGTCCCATCCATAATTAACGGCTCTTTCAGGCCTCCTGTCCGTCGATTGCTGTACTAAAATGGCCGTTCGCATGCTGAAATAAAATTGTTTGCTTATTGCATTGCATTTGGATTTTTTTTTTTTTTAATTTTCTTATGCAAAAGCGATTTTTTTTTTGATGGTCTCTACTTATATTTTATGGGAAAAAGGATCAAAGGACACAATGTAGTAAGATATGGTTTAAAGTTTTTTTTCCCCTTGCGTTTAACACTGGGTAGGGGTATTTTTTAGTTAATGTAATCTCTCCCTGTCTCTCTGAAAGGCACACCACATGCAGTATCGCATTAAGTGTTCACAGCCAACAAAGCAGCTGCAGCTGGATGCATCCCCTGTGCCGTCACTTCATAGTTACCCTAAGCGTGCTTCGGTTAAACTGTTTTCTTTAACAAAAAAAAAAAAAAGGTAATTCTTTTTTGCAGGTGTGCGACTTGCTGCTCTGGATATTTTAGTGTAGACGAGGTTAAACGTTTTTTCCAGTGTCATCTAAGCATATGAAATTCATGCCTTGTGTTATAACCCCAAAAGGCAAAGAGCTAAATGGTTCAATTTGCTAGTAATTGTGCTGTGGTGCTAGCAAGCTGAGCTTCAGGCCTTTCCGGAAGCAATTTGTTAATGGGGCAGCGTGTGGCTCTGTGGGTTGTGATGCGCTTCCTGTGATCAGAAGGTCACTGGTTTAAATCCTATAGTTAGCTGAACGATATTATTGTTGGGCCTTTCAGCATGGCCCTTAACCCCCAACTGCTGGGTTGGGCTGACCCTGCATTCTCGGTCGTATGATATATGCTGCTTAATACGTAAATGAAAAGTTCCGCAGGGGTGGCATGGCACCACCATGGATGAGGTTCCAACCATGAAAGTAGCTAACGTAGTTAGCAACTATGCTTTTATAAAATGAATCCACGGTTAGCATCGTTGCCTCTCACGTCTGGCACTGGGGTTCAAGTCTCCGTCCCTCACTCCATGCGTGTGGAGATTGTTCTCCCCGTGTTGCCGTGGGGGCTCTTCTGGGTTCTCTGGTTTTCCCCCACAGTTAATGCTAAGGTGAATTGCAGTTTCCAAAATGTTCATAGGCATCAGTGTGTATGTGCCCTGTGTTCAGTTTCTCCCCTACCTTATGTTGTCCCCTGCCTTAGGTTGTCCCCTGCCTTAGGTTGTCCCCTACCTTGTGCTTGTTGCTTCGGGGACAGGCTCCAGAAAAGGCTCCATGGATGGATAGAAAGTTCACCTCAAGATGAATTTGACAAGAGACACCTGTCTTTACAGAAAATTGTTTCCACCAATCAGCATTTGTGCTTGCTATATAAAAGTACCTGCTTAAACTGTAACAATCTGTGAGATTAATATTGTAGAGCTAGTGGGATTACAATGAGTTCAAGGAGTTACATCACAGTAAAAGTTTTACTATGTAGTTGCAGTGCATCACATATATTTAGAAAACTTGCTTCATTCCCCTGCTACATCATATCTCACAGCTTATTTGTGATCAGAATGAGAATGGTGCCCATTGTTGTAAATTCATATATGCAGGAATATGGTCGGGTTTAGTCATACTCTTTTCCAAAACAATCATAGAATTCCCTGTTTCACATGAGTCCGAGAGACTAGCCGTGCTCTTCTCTACCCCGTATGGGCAAGTCCCATATCTCAAGGTCACCTAATGCCTTCAAATAATTTGCATCTGCATTGGAATCCACAGTGGAGAGGCACATTGTTTGGACATTGGGGCACCATGCAGTTCAGCAATGCAATAGATTAGATCCAGGTTTGATTGCACGTCCCTTGCTGCCTGTGTCCGAAAAGCCCATAATCTTGAGGTGAAATGCAATCGGAAAGAAAACTACCCACAATGCACTCCTCTCTCATCACAGTGGGTCCGCAGGCACCATAATCCAGCATGATCTATCAGGCTCTTCATTCCAAGTTTATCAGGGAAACAGACGGGAGCTACAGATCGCCTTTAATATTTGATTTAGCATTTAAAGAGCTGGCAGACTGCAGTATTTGCTGATCTGAATAGATTTAAGAAATATAAATACTTAGATCTGAAAAAGCAAAGCCCCGTAATCTCACCATATTCAAATATAGCTTTGCTATTGACAGAGTTAAATCAATTAGGATGTTAGGATGGTACATAAAGACTGAGAAGTTGATATATATCCCTTTGGGTCTGTTTAGCTTAGTTTAGCATTAGCAATTAAGTTACTCAGATATTTTCATTTTAATTTAGTCAGAAACTAATGAAAATGCACAAAGCAGAGGGGGAAGAGTCTCTGTGTAATTATATAAGGCTGAGCTGCGAGGCTTCTAAAGAGCTTGCTTTGTCTTGGATTGCAATGTAGAACAAGTGAAGCCCAGATTTCTGCTGCCGTCTAAGATAACAGACGCATATCTGCACTTCTCAAGGGCCAGAGATGGGCGCGTATCATACACCCCTTCTTTGCCCTTGAAGAGTCCATTTTTAGAGGTTAACTCGAACATGACATGAATGTAAACAGCAGCTCTTCAAGCCAGTAAACAAATACAAATGGCAGACTTTAATTTGACAGTTCTTTGCAGCATTTGTATTGGGACCAAAGGTATAAACAGGATATATGAATGTGCAAAAGTGTAACGCTACAGTTAAAACCATCTGACTTTTTATATTTAAGCATTAAAATGCATTTTAATTAGTGCAACCTTTCAGGTACTGTGACTATCAAAATAATTCCTGTACAGCAGTTATTAGAACATTTATGATGGAAAGAGCGCCACCTGCAGGTGTTTACAGTAATGACAATGACAAGGAGGTGCTCGTGTCCCTTGGGGAAAGGCATTTTTTTAAAGTTCCCCCATGCCCCACCCTTCACTGACATCTTTTTTCACGCCATCACTGGAAAAAATCAAATCAGAAGCAACATCGTTGTTCTTTATCCTCTTTGTTTATTCATTAGACATCAGGTGTATAAACATATCATTATTTTATATATTTGTTTATATATGTGCGCGTGAACAGTACAGATAATATACATCTCAGTACGACGAAAGACAAAAGGCCACATTTTCAATTTGTCACATCTAGTATTACTAATGCCTCCATTGTTTAAACACGTATATGCATGTCAGCAGTACATACATATATAAATTTGCAATTTACTGCCTATGAAGACGCCATTATCATTAATTATTGTTAATTTAACCACACAGGTTACGTACTGTAACTAAAAAAAAATCCGTCAAGTTAATATCACAGGATAGAAGACACTGTTGGAGGACTTCAGACAAACTGACACCTGCGAGACACACAGAGACGTCGCTCTTGTTACATTACAGGTATAAGCTGTTAGCGGGTCGCCACGGGGACGGGAGCACTGTCGCGTGCGCAGAACCCCCGGGTTACGGAAGGGCAGCAACACGGAGCTGAGTCACGTGGCGGGCTGGAGCGCACAGGATGCACAGGGTGGCACAGGTGACACTAAAAACTACGGCATATTCCGGACATCTACTCCGGCCATCTCCTCGACTGAAGTAAAACAGCACTATAGCTAACAGTATCCCAGGTAACCGACGGGGCGTTTGTGACCCACGCGAGTGGTACTTCATTTCCGAAACGGCGACAGTAGCATTCAAATAACAGACCTTGACAGGGTCGATATGAACTGCCTGTCTGCTAGGTCGTTCTGAAAAGCTTTCACATTTAACAATGTTTAAAAAGTAGCGTTTCAGAAATGAAGTTGTGATTCAGATCATTGAAAAAAAGAAAAACTTACTTAAAAACAGGAAAAAATTGCACTCACTACCGGTCGACCAAATCTTTAAGCTAATGCGTAAATTACTCTGTGTCCCTATAAATGACAGTTTAAATCTAAACTTCTGTCTAGAACGGTTTATTAGGAACTCGGAACTGGGGGTGTCATGGTGGAGTGGGTTTCTCACAGAAATACCACTCAGCTTTTGGGTTCGTCACCGTTGAACTGCAAAATAAAATAAATAAATAAAAAAGTTTTATTACTTTTTTAATTAAGTAATGTGAAAATAAACATATGAGAGTTATTTCCTTACCTTAATTAAATTAAGAAGTAATTGATTTTGTGTGTAAACGAAATAGTTTATTCTGAAGTGCTGTGTTTGGCATATCTATCCACAGCTCTGAGTCTGGGCTCTGTGGCCTTCTTAGGGGGCGTGCACAGGGCTGTGAATTCCACACCTCTTCAGGACAAATGAAACACACCAAATCTTTGGTGAAAGTCCCTCACCAACAACATTCCAAATGTTTCGCTACAGACGGCCATCAGCTCATTAAAAGGTAAAACAAAAAAACACATGAATAATTCAAAGGATTTTAATAGCCTTTTTTCGCAGCTTTGCATGCCTAATCTTCTCCAGCTTAGCTGAGGTACAGAAATTGAACAAGCGGTTAAGGAATTATTGGCTCAAAGGACTACAGAGGGTTGCATTAAAAGGAAACGTGGGCCAAACTACTAACACCAGCCCCCCTCTCCCCCCTCGCACCGGGGCCTGGCAGCTGTTACATTAGCACAGCCGTAGTGCTGACGCTGGGCCTGTGAAAGGAAGCGATCAGCACTGGAGTTAGCTTTTCTATGCTAGCAGACCGCCCAGGTTTCGATTTAATTTCATTCAGGACAACCTGGAGGAGCATGCAGCACGCTGACAGCTGCTTGCAGAGGCGGGGATGGAGATGGGGGGGTGACGCAGCACGCTCGTTGGCTGCCGGCGCGGCCAGCGGCTCCCACAATCATCTGAGTACTTTTTTACGAGTGAGATCTGGCACTCCCATAGGAGCCACAACGGAAAACAACTGTGAGACTTCTGTGCTGCTGGTGGACAGTATAACAAAGAGACAGTCCATTCATCATTACTGTGACCTGAACAGTCAGAATCGTCATTTTGATTAATAAGCTAATCATCAAAATTTAGCTGAAAATAAGGCACTCCACTTGGCAATTAAAATATATAGACGCACATAATTCAGGGCTGTTGTTGAAAATGACTTTCCATATTTCAGTTATTCAGCAGTGTTATTGCTTAAAATTATGCCGATTCACCTGGTTCTCTAGTAACCCCCCCCCCACCCCACCCCCCCCCCGCCCTTTCCCCCCCCCCCCCCCCC